GCTTTGCGGACATGACTCGGGGCGGCGAAGTCTGGAAATCCTTGTCCCAGATTCAGAGGTTTGTAGTCCTGAGCCAATTGTATAAATTCTACCCTTTATTTCCATACATAAAGAAAAGCCATTTAATACTTAAATTCTACAAAAAGGGATACTTTTGTTGTTTATTCTTGTGATTCATTTGACAGATATATTGTACACAGAATTACATCAAATGAATTCACAATTAAATTGATTTTTTGTTACTTTTATAAAAACACAAATTTTTATGTATTGAATAAAATTATTCTTGTTTTTTGTAATTTAATTAAAATTACATATAAAATATTCATCTCATACTGTTATATAGGAGTGCTTCACATAATAATGTTGTTAAATGTTTTGATTAAGTATTAAAAAATTAAATTTATGTTTCTTAAATTTTTAAATATTAAACTTTATTTATATTAGAAATATACTTTTTTAAAATTAATAAATATCAACTTATGGTAAGACACTTACCAAACACTCTCTTCGCTGTCTTTGATCCGATCGGCGGCTATTCCTGAAGACATATTTCTTGTCTGCATTTCGTTTTATTTGTGGACAAAATTAATATAAAAATGAGTTACAAATAGTTTTTCGAAAATTCAAATTTTAAATAAAATTATAAATAAGATGTGCCGGTATTGCATGTAAACTGTATACAGTATAACACATGGTCTTATCATTTATTAAATTTTACAGATATTAAAATTCAAAAAATAGTTAATTTCCACACTTTAACCGATTATAACCAATTGTAAAATTCAAAATTAATCATCATCAATTTATACACATTAATTATTTGAAATAATTTATAAATAATTTATTTCTAACCACAATGTTTTATAAATAGTAATATTTTCTTAATACATACTATTAATAGGAATAATTTGGTTAAAATTAATTATTCAAAATAACAATCAGTTTAAACTAATTGTGAAATTAATAATAAATTGTTGAAAATAATTGAAAACAAACCAATAATTGTGTGAAAGGATGTGAAGAGGCTTTGCTATGGATATGATTGACGGCAAACACACTATACTTTGTATGACATCTACTAATCGCTGCAAACAATCTATTCATTGGTTAATTCACTCAATGTATTCACTATTTATATGAAAATATTTAAATACTTTTAATTAATTAATTAAATATTATCTGATTTTGGGTCCAAAGGAACTCTACATTACATATGATATACACTTTTCAATCAATATATTAATAATTTTCCTAATTTTGTAATCAATTAACGAATGAATTAACGATTGAATTGTTTATATATTAGCCGATTGTATGACAATATAATTAATTAATTGTAAATTAAGTCTAATATGAAAGTTAAGGTCATTTAAACGTCAATACAATTTAAAGTCTTATCAAATCACATGTTATCACGAAATACAGTCCACTTACGTTATAAAGTACGGCTATTGATTGTACGTGTACCTAAAATGAACTTGGCCACTTATTTAACACGGTATTCAATAATCGACTAATGATTAATTCAATACTTATTATTGTTCACTATATCGAGAGTACACTAAACTAAATATTAATGTTATGAAACACTTAAATATGAGTAGAGCTGATTGTATTGTGAATAATGTTTATAACAATTGTGATAACATATGTTTATAAAGTGTAATTGTGTGTTGGCCAGCAGTTTATATGATCAAGGTAGATTAAATACCAATAACATACTACTAGTAATTACCTGTATCGACAAGTGTTGGTAAATGTAACAAGGTGATTTTATAACATGAAAACACTTTGTAAAACCAATTGAATGAGTAATCGGTCCCCAAATGAATGGATGTATTGTTTGACAACAATATGTTGTTTACAAACCAATAGTGCATTGAATTGGCTGTAAATGAATGACTGTTTCAATCGTGGCTTCAATTTAGATGTGAATTGAATGTAAAGCAAGTGTTTGTATGAAATGGTTGTCAAACACTGTGTCTATAATGGATGCGAAAGCGATTCCCGCTATTGGGACAGGGATTACATGAAAGGTAGCACTCAATTGATCCCAACAAACATTTGATCCCATTTTATATAATTGTTGTCATATGTCTTGTGGTGTCTTTCAGGCGTGTGTTTCATCCGTTTCCCAAACCCGTCGACTCATCGGCAAAGATGTGAGAAATGGGTTAAGGCTTGCGATCGACCGGATCTCACCATTAATGCCGTCACCGACAAGACATACATCTGTTCAAAACACTTCATCGGCGGTAACGGACCCACCAAACAGAGCGCAGACCCGCTCCCACCCAATCAGGTATAAGACACACAAAGACAGACATTGAGTGAAACGATAACTGAAGTGAATTGATTTGTTTTGTCGGAACAGCTCTTAGCGGCCAATCAGTCGGCGAATCAAATGTTTGACATCTCATTGGAATTGACTGAAGAACAGGCGAGAAATGGTTTCTTGAAA